AGAACTGATTCAGGAAACAAGTTGTTCCCCTGCTTGTCAGTGAGAGTATCAGAAGAAGTACACAGAGCACACAGCTGGGTTATAAAAGCCCTTTTATAAAGCCATTTTTAAACAAAACAAAACAAAACAAAAAGTTTACAAAAGAAAAAAGATACAGAAAAAGAATAACTTGCTTCATATGTCCCAAAAAGAGGAAAAAAAAAAAAAATAAAGGGACAATGCCAACATGCTCAACAATAAAGGGTTCTTTTTCTTATTTTTTTTTAATACAAAATACAAGCAAAGGATACATATACTTAAAACAGAGCTCAGGAGCAGACACGCAGTCCTGGAAACCCTTCAATAAAAGCAATGCAGGAGTTTTTTTCTTTTGTCTATGCTGATACATACAGAGACTGAGATATGTAAAAATGAAGTATCACAAAGGACCATCACACAATTCTACCAATGCATGTTGCATCTATAATTCATGAACATGGTCAACAAAATCATGTTCACTTCAATCCCATGTCATTTAAATTAAAAAAAAAAAAAAAAAACAACTTTTAAATAAAGTGGTTACATTCAAACTTTTAACCTCCTTAGTACCATGCTGCAGATTCCAGCACTGTTAAGGTATTGCAAGAATGCCCAACCCTCTGGTATCCGATCGCATTATCTAGCAACACTGCAGTATGAAGAAAGGGATGCCCTGGTCTCAGGTTATGGACTAACTAACGTATGTGAGCAGGTCCTCTCTTTTACCCTTCTTGTTTGTTTAGACTGTAAAAGCTTAAGAAAGAAAATCAAGAAAGACTGGGAGTTTTAGAGCTGGCAAAATTAAAAGGTCTGAAATATAAATTCTCAAGGCAAACAACTACTGAGAACTTGGCTGCTGCTTAACCTGGCAAATCTTAAATCTTTCCTTAAATCCTGCAGGAATTAGATGTAGTAAGGTTTGATGCAACATGTTCATGGTAAACAAACTAAGTAGAGCTCTTATTTACAAATTTTGTAACAAATACTTCTGGAGGAAAAAAAAAAAAAAAAGAATTCACTAATTTCCAGAAGACAAAGGTTTAATTGCCAGACATATACAAACACACTCACACACACACCCACACAATACTTCAGGGGGTTTTATACATATAGGGCATAAGCTGAGTACTATACCCCCAACCCATCAAAAAAAACAGGAACCAAAAAAAAAAAATCCCAACTTTACCCTCCCCTCCCATAATCTAGAAAACCCTCCCTTTACCCCTGATGTACAAAGTGTATGCACAATGGTGGCATTCCACCAGTCACACAGAGCATGCTCAAACAGATGTCACCAGTTCAGTCATTCCATTGGCATGGCAACAGGCAGGTTTATGGGATGTTTCCCCAATAGTGGTTAATACACAGTCAGCACCACTGTGAATTTTGTGAATTAGGCTTTGAAAAAAATTAAAAAAAAAAAAGAGAAGTTTAAACTTATGGATTTGGGATTCAAAAAAAATCATATTCTACCAAGTTCATCCTAAGACAAAAGGAAATGGATTGAAGATTGAAACTTAGTATAGATAGCCTGGCGTCCCAATATTCAAACAATAAATTAATTCCCTGTTCTCAAGTAAACCCAGCTTCACCCACAGTGAAAAGGACAATTTTCTACACCTCAAGAGCGACCCTAGCCCTCAGCAGGAGACACGCAGCACTCAGTATCTCAGTCTAAATGTCATAAAGCCCAGAGCCTAGGTTTCTTCCATTTTCAAACTCCCAAGGTGATAGTTTGCCCTTCTCAGTGTAGCTACTGGACATAACAGGCTCAGAGAGAACCGTTCAGAGCTGTGCTCATTGTCTAGAACAGCAACAATGGCCACAGAGCCTTTCACAAAGCTTTCCCCATTACTCCTGGCATTTAATTCTGCTCTCGTCTTCCTAACACTCTCACAGGCATCTCCTAAACTGAAGTTTGTTTAAAGAAAAGCACTATTGTCTTCCCAAACCAGTACTCTAAAATCCACTTGTTACTTAAATGCTCACGGAAAAAACAGAACCGGGGGGAAAAAAAAAACGTCAAGTTCAATTCAGCTGACCATATCAACAAGAGTGTCAGAAACCTTACTGGATTATATAACTTCAAGTTCCACTCCTGATTAGTTATCTGTAAGAAAACACTACCAAAACCATGCCAAAATAAGTTTTCAACTGAGGGTTAAACCTGGGGCAAATCAAAGTTACTATGAAAAAAATCATCAGGCTCCTTCATGAGAATCAACTACCCTTTTTTTTTAAGATTTTCACTCATCACCTCCCTAAAGGAGGAAACAACATAAGTTTTCCTTTATGGGATCCATTTGGAGTGAAGTTATGAAAGGGGCAGATGTTTCAGAAAGCAGGACAATCTACCGTGTCTAGAATTAAAACTTGTTATTCCTTGGGCCCGACACCATGGGTTCTAATTTGAGGTGGAGAGGGCTAAAGCAGCAGCAAGATACATTTAATTAAGATATAAGCCACCCATTTCTAGCACGCTGAGGGAATTGGGGGGGAGGCATAGAATGTAGTGTCAGTCAGCATAGCTGACAAATATGTTATAGAGGTAAACCTAATAGAGCTAACATAGAGAATTCAGGTAACACAAACAAGCACCCTCAAAGTCCATGTCCCATTTCCTGAGCACTGCAAAACAAGACAGTGAATGCTATTGCCATTTCACCATAGGCACACTAAAAAGAAAAAGGATGTTTAGTCAAGGGGGGTGCCAATGGCCAGTCCCTATTAGTTTACAGTTTGTAACGCATATGTAATGCATACATCACTATTAAGCCTGACAATTGAGCACCTATTTCCAGTTGAGTCACCACAACTGTCCTCCTATTTGCATGCAATGATTTAACGGGAAGACTAGAACGTTTTAAATCATTAATAAAAAGTGGGGAAAACAAAAGTCATTCAGAGCCTGCCTCACTTGGGGGACACAGACCCCTCCGTCCAGTCTGTAAGAAATATGTAATACATTTTCAATCTATTGATTTCTTTTTTAAAAAAAGGGACCTCAAACAATAAAAGCCCAACCAAATGCACGCAAGTAACCTACAAGACATGATCAAGACATGATTACCTCTAAGGTGTGTGTATACCACAATCAGAGATGTTAGTACAGATTAATATACCGAAAAGAACTTGTGTTACACAATGTATCGAGGCTGAAGTTTTAAAGGACACCTCCTCCAATCATCACTAAACATAACCTAAGAGAAGTCCAAATGTTACTAGGAATGTAAGACTTAGTTACACTTCTAAAAACATTAAGTGCAAGGTGGAAACACTGATGGGTCTTTTACTAAATGAACACAAACCTTCTTGTTAAAAATGGACACTTGAACAAACCCACTAAGGCAAATAATCTTTAACATCCTCATTATAAAGTTCATAATAATAAATTTATCCATCATGAAAGATAACAGAAACCAAATGCTACTTATGTTCAAGTCTTGCATTTTTGGCCTTTTACTGAAAATCCAAACTCATTCTTAACACACAGTTCAACAGTGAAATGACTCTCAGCCACTAGGTGTTTCAAAAATATCAGAGTAAAAATGTTCCTTGTGTAACATTTAGTCTTAGTAACACCTACAAGAAAGCCATGTTGTCTGAGACAAAAATATGCTATAACTTAAAAGACAAAAAGAACACAAAAGCAGGATAATAAGGAAGCAAAACTATATAAAAAGGAAGGAGAAAGACAGAGGCTTAATTTTATAAATTTCTCAATTTCAAACCTAAGATCTATCTCCTGACTGCTTTCATAAGACGTGTAAAAAGGTTCATTATCAACTGCACATAGGACTCCTGAATGCACAGATTCTCCAGCCCTGCTGAGCCCCAAACTCCTGCTTTAAGCAAAGTGAGCAGTAAGCAAGGGGACAAAGGAAAACAGACAAGAGCAACTGCGTAGTGTGGGAGCAGCATTACCATACCCCCATCCAGACAGGATGTGAAGAAAATTAAGAGTCAGGAAAAACAGTGTCTTAGAATAGAGCTGGTAGACATTGGGGGTGGAGTGTGCACTGGTGCCCCTATGTAATAGCAGGGAGCTGAGAGACGCATTTTACAGCATGTTTCTATGAAGAAAAGGGAGACAGGGTACGGAAAGGAAAATATTCTATCCTCAAAAACAGCATGGGTCATGGGGTCTGAATGCACATCTATGGCATGAAAGAATATAAATTCTCTGTTCTCAAAAAGGAAAAAAGCTCAACTCTTTGTAACTGAGTTTCACATTAACTGGTACTTTATTTGCTTAAAACCTAGACATCGTCAGTTTGAGAAGAAAGTCACTGTGATATAGCTTTATCTTGCCATTTAAATTCTAGGTTTTTTTTCCTGGGGGGTGGGGTGGGGGGATCCTTGGTAAAATTTTATCCAAGAAACAGAATAGATACACGTATGTTTTAAAAACATGAATCATTAGAGAATGAGATCTGAAATCAGGTACGATTTCAGTTTTGGCAGCCCCTGCTTTTTTTTTTTTTTTTTTCTTTTTTAAGCTTCTTCAAGACTGCAGCAGGACAAAGGATCACTGGCTCCGAGTCTCTGAGATAACAAGTGATGAATAAAAAAGAAAATCCACACCCTCAAACAAGGGCAGGCAACCCCAATTCCCACACCCTCCCCCAAGATAAAAAATATGAATACTTTTTTGTAACAACTCAGAATTCATCTTTATCTCCTACCTGCCTCATTAGTGGAAGTTTAAAGCCATGATTTTTTTTTTTTAAAAAAGACACTGATGCTCCTGTATATAGGTAATAAAAGCTCAAACTAGAGGACAATTGATGTTTTAAGAAGTACAGGTAGGGAAAGAAGCAATCATTTTTAACTAAAATTCTTCTATACTTTTTGATTACTATACAGTTTGCTATTATTTAGCAAAAAGCAAAATTTTTATAGTGTTCATCTCAAATCTTATTGCTTTACAACTATGGTATACCTTCCATTAGAATAAAAAGATGTAGTAGTCAATCCAGTGATTAATTTGACATGGCTTTCGTTGGGGATGGGGAGGTGGCGGAAAAGAGAAGACCAACATACAAAAAGGTAACTCAAACATACAATGGTTTTCTTTAAAAAAAAAAAAGAAGAGGAGGAGAAAATGTTATTTTCAACAAATGGAAAAAAAGCATTCAAAGCCCATGAGTCAAGCCATAGCCAAAACCATGTTCTATCTTAAGTAGGTTCTGTTTTTATCTTTTTCTTTCTTTCTTTTTTTTTAATAAAATCTCTCCCCAAACCACCATCACTTTTAATCATCCCCAGACTGGGCTTCATCTTCAGACCCTTCATCTCCAGATTTTTCTGGTGGAGGGCTGGCAGACGTTTTCTTTTCTGGAGGGCTTTCTGGTTCCTCGTCATCTTCTTTGGGGGAAGGAGTCTTTTCCTTTGATGCCTTTGAAGCTGTGGGACGACCCACTTTCCCTTTGCCTTTCACTGGACTTGGTGTCACTGAAAGAAAAAAATGTAAGTTTGAGAGAAAGGAAAGAGAAAAAAAAATTGTCTTTAATAAAAATCAGCAACAAAACAACCTGTAAAAGAAAATCTATAAAGTCAAAACTCCAACTTACTAAAAATCAAGCTGAGCACCAAGGTACACATACATCCCTATAAATCTCTCTCAAATTCTAAACCAATCATGGTAAATTACTGAAATATGCTGTAGTGGTTTCCAAATCATTTGTATTAACACCATAATGCTATATTAACAATATGCTTATAATGGGAGCCCTTGGGTGGTACAAGTAAGTGGTTAACACATTGGGCTGCTAACTGAAAGGTTGAAGGCTAGAGTCTACCCAGAGACTCCCTGAAGAAAGGCCTACTGATCTGCTTCTGGAAAACCAGCCACTGAAAACACTATGGAGCACAGTTCTGCTCTCACACACAGGAGAGTATCATGAGTCAGAACTGACTTGAAGGCAACTGGTTTAATGCTTAATAATGGAGGAATGGGATGCTACAGAAATTGGACATCATCCTTTATGTCTTGTGAAGCAAGTTATTTATGATAAAAGTTACATTAAAAAAAAAGAGAAAAAAACTTAATCTGATTAGAAACTGAAGACTCCAAATAACTTTTGATTGTTTTATGATAGTGATAAGCAAAAGCTTTAAAAATTGTTAGTTCTACTAACCTGAATAAAACTGTATGTACAAAAAACTAATCCAGGCTGTGATTTCATTATAAAACTGGTTCTGACTAGGACAGTATCTGGCAGAAACCACAAGAGCTCAAAGAAAATGAACCCATGTTGTCAAGACATTGACATTCTGATAGCACCGGGGTTGGAGTCGGGGGTCAGAAAACAGAACTTAAATGCTAATTATTAATGTAAGTTTGTACATTTTTCACTATTTACTCAATAGTTGCTGGGGTTTGAGACTGTGATACTGGTGAGAAAAAAGGACATTGCTAGCTCTGCTGACAGTGTTCCTACCACTGTGTCTGATACAAATAGGTCACTCCCAATTCTTGCTAGTATGTGGTAGTAGCTGAAGAACAGAGTTAAGCCCACCAGACTTGTGGAAGAGCTAGAATCCTTATTTTTAATAAACCCAAGTCATTAAATGGCCTTTCCTAAGCATAAAAGAAACCATTCAAGGGAACTCAGACCAGTTTTATACGGTAACAAATCATAACCCTTCTCTTTCTTCTTAATCTGTATTAAAGCTATGTCTAGGTATAGAAAACATGATCCATTTGGAATTCTTGTGTTCCTACAAAGTATCTGACAAATGTCAAGATATAATAAAGAATCTCTGTGGACACAGTTGTATTGGTTCTTGAAATCTTTCAAAGCAGTATTATAATCTCACTTCGCAGAATTCACCTGTTGCCTTTAGTCTAGGTTTGGGCATTTTCTTCTCTTTTCTCTCAGGTTTGGACTTCTTAACCATCTTTTTGTTTTTCTTTTTTGAACTGCCATAGTCACTGTCATCATCATCTTCCATTAGGAAATCTTCATCGCTGCCGGAATCTTCTGAGGGGAAAAAAGAATTTCAACATCCAATTTAATGCGCACATTCTTCCATGTGAAGGAAAAGAGTGCTAAGAAGAACTGAAGGACTAAATTTGGGACTCAAATGTTCTTGGATTCTACTTGTAGCTATATTAACTATTTAAAGTTGTCACTGGCCCTACCTGTAAAGTGGGTTCAGCATTCACCTCATATAAGGGTTTATTTATTTGAAGAGCAGGTCGAAAATAGGAAGAGGTAAGAAGCCTTGATGGTGCAGTGGTTAAGCACCCAGCTGCTAACCAAAAGATCAGTGGTTCTAACCCACCAGCTACTCCACTGGAGAAAAGATGTGGCAGTCAGATTCCATAAAGATTTCAACCTTGGAAGCCCTATGGGGGCAGTTCTATTCTGTTCTTTAGGGTCTCTATGAACTGGAATTGACTCAACAGCAACGAGTTTTATGGAAAGGGTATCTCAATAAAAACCGAAGCCATCATATAACCTTCAATGGTTCCATCATTCCCATGTAGTGTTCATGAGACCAGGGAAATGAAATTGAACAGGTGTTTTTGGTCCAACTATGAATAAATGCAACAAGAAAACTACATGTAAAACAAAAATACATTTATCTAACTGACCTATGAAACATCTAAACTGTTTTACATTTTCTTAGGGGAAGGGATAGGGGTCTATACTCTCTCCCCGCAACTGAAATATAAATGGAAATCACAAAGATAACAACCACTCTAACAATTTATTAATTCAGTACTTGAGTATAAACGATGTGCCAATCACTGAATAAAGACGGTGCAACCATTAACAATGGTTGTTGTTGTTGTTGTTTGCCGTCAAGTCTGCCCCGACTCATAGCGACCCCTCCTTGGGTTTCTGAGGCAGTATCACTACGGAAGTAGGATTGCCCAACCTTCCTTCCGAGGAGTGGCTGGTGGGTTTGAACCGCCAGCCTTCTGGTGAGCAGTCAAGTGCCTTAGGCACTATGCTACCAGAGCTCCTATTAACAATGGTAGACAATTATAATCATGAGAATCTTGTAACCTTCTAAGTATTTTTTTAAACATTATCAAAATAGTCCTATCTTCTAATAGGAAGTAACTACCTAACTTAAGGAACTGGTTCTAACACTTACCCTAAAAAACACGAAAGTATTAAAAGTCAGAAACTACAATCAAAACCCAAATATACAAGCCAATTTTCCATACTTTCTTGGAATGGTGCCTCGTCTTCCTCTTCTTGTTCTTCCTCACTGCCCACATCTTCCATGAGCATCTCTCTCTGCTTAGAAGCCGCTTTAGAGGCTGCCTGCCGTTGCTGGCGTACATTTTTATGATCTTCTTTTTCATCTTCACTATCCTCTGCAATATCAAAGTCATCATGATGTAATGATCAGAGTTCTGTGTTTATTTGATAGCAGAGTGGAAAACTCAACACTTAGTAGCCAACGTGGAATATAACCTACAGTCTTATTTTATCCAAAAGGGTAAATTCTATCCTTAAAAATGTCCACAAAACATACAAAGGAAAAACTAATACAATTCACAAAGAATGAGCTTGTATGAAAGTATTACGTATAAAACAACTTAGACAAAATGTACTGTCATTGAGTCAATTCCGACTCATATTAACTCTATAGAACAGAGTAGAACTGTCCTAAGGGTTTCCTAGGCTGTCATTTTTATGGAAGCAGAGTGCCTCATCTTTCTTCCCTGGAGTGATTGGTGGGTTTGAACCACTGATCTTCTGCTTAGCAGCTTAATGCTTTAATCACTATATCACCAGGGCTCCTTAGGCAAGTAGGCCCTAAAATAATGACAAACTACCACCTTTTACAATGAATGGGGTGTGGCTGTGTTTCAATTTAGAGTACTGAGCAAAATCTTTAAACCATGTATTTAGACCAGTTAGCCATAGACCTTTCTACCTTTGTTTATTAAAAAAAAATTAAATTCAGAGTATACTATTAATTTTTAATTAATTAAAACATTTTCAGCACAGTCATGTTTGTTAGTGAATCTCATTAAAGAGCAGGCTACTACTGGCCTACTGATTCTAGATCAAGGTATATTTGTATTAGTATCAACTTGCAGCCTTTTTCCTGGACTTCATGCATCCCTTTACTGTTAAGGTTTAGCTGTTAATCTTTTGGAAATGCTTGCTACGGTCAGTTCTCAAGTTATCACTTTCATGCCAAAAACCACATCTAGAGACAAACAGACTCAGGGAATAAAACCAACCTTGGCACACCCCAACTTAAACTCACCTACTAGGAGGTATGCTTAATACTAGTTATTCACCTTGCAGTGATCAATAAACTAATAAACATTAAGAGTTTTCAATCAGGGTACACAAAACAGATGAATAAGAGTGTGTATCACATTACCACAAGATCACAAGCACAACAGGCTAATGTATTTTTGTTTTTCAACTTAGGCAGCCAGATAGCAGACTTGAAATAGGAAGGAATACAGAATAGCTCAATGGAATGAATTCAGGGGAATCCTGTTACCTATTAGCTAAAAATTGCAGTTTTATTTAAAGGATGATCCAGAAAGGAAAGAGCAGAGACTGTAGGTCAAAACTAAAGTGGATGGGAGGAATATGGAATAAACTCTCAATTCTAGGAGGTAAATTTTACAGTCAGTACCAACAGTAAGTAAAGTCATCAGAATTTAATATTTTCATTTGGTCATGGGGACTCTTTAATTTGCATTCATTCTTTTAAGTACAAATTCTTACAATAAAAGCTTTCTCTGTGGCCACTGTTTCAAAGAACCAGTTCCTAGTTAAAAGAGTGGGGTCAGAACTAACATGCTTGCTTTTCAACCCAGAGTCGATTAAGCTCCCTTTTTTTATACTTCTATTTACCTTGTATTGTATATATTTCTAAGGAGCCCTGGTGATGCAATGGTTAAGTGCTCTGCTGTTAACCAAAAGGTCAGTAGTTCAGACTTACCAGCAGCTCCTAGAGATCTGCTTCCCCATGTAAAGATTTCAGCCTAGAAAACTCTATGGGGCAGTTCTATTTTGTCCTACAGGGTTGCTATGAGTCAAAATTGACTTGATGGCACACAAAAATAACAAATATATATTTCTATTATTCTATTTAGATTGATGTCTTTCATTGGCTCATGTAAGTGGTTTTCAATCTCGACTATCCAAGTTTTAAAAAAACAAAGCCCCCAAGTCCCACCTAGACCCATTGAAACCGAAATCCTGGGACACAAATATGCAGTTTTAAAAAAGCTTTACAGGTGACAGTAAAACAGTCACCAGGAATAAGAATCACTGTGAACTCTCTGAAGACAGAGACATCTTTGTAATCCCAGTATTTCTAACAGTGCCAGGTATATAAAACCTGGTTATTAAAATATCTAATGAATACATGTATGAATAGAATTACATCTATTACATTAAAAAGTTTACTACCTGCTGAATGAGAGTCCTCCTTCTTGGTCTTTACATCTTTTTCTTCTGAGTCCTCACTATAAAGGAAAAGGGTAAATGCTTAGAGTCTTAGATCAAAGTTTAAAGTGAACATAGATCTCTGGTATCTGACTGGAGAACAGCTCTTTTCTATATTAAATGTTCAAACAGATGCTGAGAAATAATTTCCATCATTTCTCCACCTTGGAATAAGCACAATTTTACCTACGTTAGAAAACACTGCTTCCACAGACTCAAAAGAAAAACAGAATGTTTGTCAACAAAACCTGAAAATCTCTCACCTATGGCTAAGGCCTAGTTCACAAGAATATTCAATAAGAAAAAATATTCTCTGTGATCAGAGACAGAGCATAAAAATACTAAAAATAAATGACATAAAATAAGTGTGCAGACAGTGGTAAACTAAGTGAAGTTACCTCTCAGAAGCACAGATGCAAAAAACACTTAAAATAATTTAAGGGAAGTGGGTTCAATTATGTAATCAACAATATTCAAAAACATTTACCTAAGGTGAATGAATATAAATCTATTAAGTAATTATCTGCTAGTATGTTGCTTCTAACATTTCCATGCATCAGAAACACCAACACACATGTCCCCTTACACCACTGAGAAAAGGAAAGGGAGCTCAAGGCCACTCTGCAAAACAAGTTAAGGAATTTCAAACTGTCTCTGAAAAGTTTCTTAAAATAACTGTTTTAAGTCATAAAGATACACATTTTACGTCATTACAAATCTTAACTCAAGAATCTGGGTTCTAATGTCCTGTCTTTGTCATTATTAGTTGTATGATCTTGGGAACATCACTGGGTGCTAGATTTTTTTATTAAATTATGATTAAATTTTATGATTCTACAAGAAATTGTGATGAACAAAAAAAGGGAATTTATACATAAAAACTGCATTCATAGCCTTCCCTTCTCAAACGGGTCTTGTAAATCTCTTTTAGTTATTTCCCATAATGCAGATCAAACTATATGACAAACTACTGAACCCAAGAGTCCTAAGCAATGAGAAAAAACCAACGTAAGAAATCTGGGTTCAAGACACTTTTTAATTCTGAAACCTGTGACTGTTCCTCATAGACGCTATCATGGAAAATAGGCATTTAATTCAAAAAACCTAACACAATGACTAAGAACTGTATTATTGTCTATAGTTCTCTTATTACTGAGTTTATAGACATTAATTGGGTAAATCCTTGAACCCCATTACAGTAAAGTTAAGAAATAGCTGAACTCTTTAGATGATGATCAACAAAAATCAATATAGCATTGGTTTGAGGGAATAAAAACATCCAAGGCAATACAAATGGCAAGAAAAATTATTGTTTATTACAATCACTGACAATTAGGAGAGAAGAATAAAACCAAGTGCTTGCATCAAAAAAAATTTAAGCTGGATGAAATTATACTGGTATATTTGAGGTTAGTGATTAAAAAAAAAATAAACCCCTAGGTAAATGCAGATTAAATGTTACTATTTCTAAGAATTTAGAATTTAGTACCCAGTGAACTCAGAATGGAAAGACTTCTGCCTGGGGCTATATTATTATTGTAGTGATTCTAGTACTCCAAGATAAATACTTTAGAAGAACTAGTGAGAAATTATTATTTTCGTTCTTTGAACCACTTAGTCAACTTTTATTCATTACACTATTATTTGCGTATAGCCTAATGACTAAAATAGGGACTTTGCAATCCAACAGGCATGGTTTCAAAACCTGTTCCTCCATTTGCTGAGCAACCTTGGTTAAATCACAGACTTTCTCTAAATCAGTGTTATCTACTCTCATAGAGGTGTTGTTGGAATGAAATGATAAGCATGTACTAGAGACTAGCACATAATACTCTTACAATGGTGGCTTTCATCATCATTACCATCATCACCAAATCTTGAAGTTATGCTGCACTGTGGGGCTATGTGTCTGAATTCTTTAAGAGCAGAAGCAAAAGCGACCCTATCCCAGTCTCATGAGGCAAAATTAATGAAAATTACAATTTGATTGAATTCATTTAGAAGACTAAGGAAAACAAACTGCTGTGAAATGATTAAATTATTTAAACAACAGAGAACTGACTGTGAGACAGTAAACGCAGCAGGCAACACAACTTCAGTTCTATAACCTTCATTTACAATTCTATTAATGATTTGTGACTAAACAGGACAGGCCACCTACTCTTTGCTATCACTATGACAATGTTAATAATAATATTAAATAAGAAATTACATACTTAACAACTTAAGTCTTCTGTTTATGTTCAGAGGTTCAAGTTAGCAGCAAAGGCATTCCTGAAGATCACCCCGGATTCCAGGTTGAGTCTAAGCAAGGCTCACGACCTTAAGGAGGCTATACCTCTAGATCCAGAAACCCTACGTGCGATCATATGAAACATACAAAACAATATATGTGGGCAATAAGCACTTACCAAAAGTATCTGGAGATTCTAGCAATTCAGAGATCAAAGACTGTCCTCATCTCATAGTAGTGACAGTGTAAACAAGAACAGAAAAACAGTTTGTCTCTTACCTATCTTCCTGTGAATTTTTTCCAGATCGTCTCTTATTTTTAGCTTCTCGGGGAGATGATCGGATTTTCTTAGCTGGAGGACCTGAATCTCTTCCATAATCTTCATCTACACAAATCATGTTTCATATTCAATTAATTTACATTTGAATTTCACATGTAAAAATTACCACTGTATTTACAGTATAATCCTTCATGCTACATAAGTGGTGAGAGGGGTAGGATTTCCTAAATAATTTCTTTCTTGTTTTTAAATTATTTTCCACCCCAGTCTCACAACCTTGACTCAACTACTTCCATTTTTGCATACTGCCCCTCAGTCCTCATGTATGTATTTTTAATGCATCTGTGGGATAAAGGAAGGAGCTCTGATGGTGCAGTGGTTAAGGCATTTGACTGCTAACCAAAGGGTCTGTCGTTTGAATCCATCAGCTGCTCTGCAGAAGAGAGATGAGGCAGTCTGCTTCCATAAAGATTTATAGCTTTGGAAATCCAATGGGGTTTATGATGAGCTGGAACCAACTTGATGACACTGAGTTTGGTTTTCGGTTTGGTGGGGTAAAGGACAATTTTTCCCCAAGTAAGGTGGCCTCTGTCTTTAGCTCTGGAGAAGTGACCTTGGAGTAACTGGAATGCCTGGCATCCAGGACTTCCAGGCCACACCTGAGAGTCCATGCTGGCAAAAGGGAGGATTAGGCAGACCAGAAAAGACTAGCTTCAGGAAGCAAAACTTAGCCTATCAATCAGGACTGGTCAATAAAAGCCCAAAAGATTCAGAGAGCTTCCTGACTGATGAGAACATATGCTTGTGGCATGCCCCTCGACACATGGAAGGTACTTACAGGGAATCCTCCCAGACCTTACCCTATGTATCTTTCCATTTATATCTTTTGAGATTGTAACAAACCTGTAGCGCTAAGTATGGTATATTCTTGAGTTGTTCCAGTGAATTAGCAAGTTCAAAGGGGTCACAGAAGCCAGCAAGCAGGTCAGAAAATAAGGGTGTCATGAGGACTCCAGAGCTTGTGCTTGGCATCCTAAAAGATGTAGTGGGAAATTTTGCAGCCAGCAGGTCGGAAGGTTGGGGTGTCACGTGGACTCTCCAAACTTGTGGCTTGCATTTGCCTATTTGGCAGAAGGAGTGCGTCCTTTTAACTTGTGAACTCTGACTTAGCCCCAGATGGGTAGGCTCAGAGAGTGCTAGAGGAGCAGTTTACAATGAGGAAGGAAAATGGGAATGTGAGGATCAGATCAGTCACCACATTTTGGGGACTGGATTCATGCTGATCCTTACCACTCCAAACAACAGCCACATTATCTCATCATTTTATACCTTGCCTTTTTTAATTTCTCAAAGAACTCACTGTTTTAACATCTTCATATTTATTTAAAATTAGAGTAATACGGTGTTCAGGTTACCTAGTGCTGCTCTGACAGGAATATAACACAAATGGGATGCTTCAACAAAACAGGAGTTTATTCTCTTACAGTTTGGACACTTCAAGTTTAAGTTCAAAGTGCCAGGCTCCAGGGGTGAAAGCCCCTGCTCCCGGCCCACTGAAGCTACAGGCTTCTCTTCTCTCAGACAACTGCTGGCTGCTGAGGCTGACAAGCCCACGGTTTACAAGTAAAAAGGCACAGTCCGATGTTACAAAAACACACGGCAGGCCATTAATTCAAGTCCACTGAAAGTCCCAAAGTCAGCAGAGCATGGCAGGCTGCAGAACAGTAACATGGCTACATGCAGGGTTCAAGTGTGTCATAAACTAGAGACCGTTCCCAAAGCTGCTCTTTATATACGGGAAGCAGACCACATCCCTAAAGCAGCTACTCAGCCGCTTGTGGTAGATCCCACCATGGAGTTGATTGCCAGTCTCATCATGGAAAATAACTACCTTCAGCTGCCCAGCCACTCAACCAGGCCCAGCCAAGTTGATACACAAAACATAACCACCATATATGGTTACATTTCAAACATTTTAGAAAGAACCCACAATTCTCAACCCTAATACAGTTACTGTTATCAAGTAAATTAAATTTACCTAAAGTCTTAAATATAGTATACTCTGGCACTTGAGGAAAATTACCACCCCAAAAGGTGAATATTTCAAAAAATATTTACTGCACCATTATATAATGATAAGAAGCTGGATGTCATTTGGTTATTTAGCAATTAATGAATGCTTGGATACCTTATAAACTCCACGAAGGAATATCATACAACCATTAACAGGAATTTTTCAAATACTTTAGTAAAATGAGGAAAATATTGATGGATTTGAACCGCTGACCTTTCTTCCAGGTAGCAGCCAAATGCCTTATCTACTACACCACCAGAGCTCTCTCTCTCTCTCTCTCTCTATATGAATGAATGTATGTATGTATATATCTCTTACCTAGCAATTTTCCCCCTCTTCCCCTCAACTACGTTTACAAAAAAAAAAAAGGCTAACAATTAATAACAAAATCTTAAAATGGCCTTTTGTTGGCTAAGGGGCTTTGAGGAGTATCTGTGTCTCAGTTTCCTTTCTTGTAAAATGGAAAAATAATACATCCCATTATAATAGAACTGTTACAAGGATTAAATGAGTAAATACAAGAATTTAGAATAATTTCTGGCATGGTAGCAAGGATTTAATAAATGTTAGTATTACTTCTGTGAAATAAGGATTGTATATTACTCCTCTTTGTATCTTTCTACATTTCCTAAGTTTTCACATATTTTTATAAAGTTAGATTTAAAAGAAAGTAAATAAATGCATCTGAAAAATAATGAGATTAAGAACACAAAGAATCTTTTGTATAGCTAAGAATTTAAGATATACTACTCATTCTGTAATGAATTAGTTCACAAATCAAAGCTGTTTCACACAATAGACTCTCAGCTTAGTTACTTTATTTAATAGTCTCAAAACCAGCTACAACTTTTACTCTGATTACAGCAGTAGCTATTTTAAGTAATAAACACTCCAGAATTAACAGACATTTAAACTTTGGACTCTAAAACGAGGTGATAAAAAAATTACCCAAGTATTTATTTTCAACGATTTACAAGGAAAAGCTAACCCATGTTAGTTCAACTTTTGTTTTGGTTGACACATATCCTGATGTAATTTGCATACATAAATATTTTTAAATAGAAAATTACTCTAAAAGTATGACTTTTCAAAAAGGTATGTCAATTGGAGATACTCCCACTAGTCAGTCCAACTCATAATTAACTGAAATTAAAAAACTTACCAGCATCATCAGATTCTTGAAACTGAGAATAATCAACGACCTTCCTATTTCTGTTGAAAGAGAAACTCTAATTAACCAAGATAAAAAAAAAAAAAATGTTGGACTTCTAAGATATCAGGAACATGCAATTCTATCTCATAAACATAATTACAAACTAAACCAAAAAACCAAAACAAAACAAAAAAACAACTCACTGCTTTCGAGTTGGCTCCAACTCAGAGTGACCTCTCCTTGGGTTTCCTAGGCAGTATCTCTATGAAATTAAATTGCCCAGTCTTCCTTCTAAGGGAGTGGTTGGTGGGTTTGAACCGCCAGCCCTCTGGTTAGCAGTCAAATAAATGCCTTAGGGACTACGACACCATAAACTAGCTCTCCAAAAAGTAGTTTCTCAAAAGCTACCCCTAACCTAGCCAAAATACTTCTTCAGGCACCTGAGATTAACCCTGATAGTAAATAGGAAATGTATTATTTTCTGGAAAATCATTAGGATGCAGATTGAGCACAGAGCAAACAGTTCTTTATGACTCTTTAAACTCATAGTTTGGTGTCATGGAAAAAGGTTAACCTGCTTAAGTTTTTTCCATCATTTTGTTACAGGAAGTACAACTTAAATTAACCCAAAGGTACTTGAAGCTCTAATTTTCATACTACTTATCTCAGTAATAATAGCTCAAATATCATTTTTCCCCTAAAAACAACCTCTCATTCCAAAGCACATGCACATAAACAGCAAAATGTGTCATATCATTACATGTATTCATTTATATATACAGAAATATCACATGCACAAGCCAAAATAGAAATACTGTTTCCCACTGCTATCCAGGAGCAGGGTGGGGGAGACCAGGAAATGAGCAGAGCAGTTTGGAACAAGTAAGGGAGACAAACTTGCCAGTTAGTTTGTGGTACTGTGGTGGCTTGAGTGTTTCTGTGAGGCTGGAGGCTATGCCACCAGTGTTTCAAATGCCAGCAGGGTCACCCATGGTGGACAGGTTTCAGTGGACTTCCAGACTAAGACAGACTCAGAAGAAGAGGCCATCCATTTCTCAAAGAACTGCCCAGTGAAAACTTTATGAGTAAGTGAAATACTGTCTGATATATTAATGAAAAACTTTATAAATAGCCTTGAAACACTGTGCAATACAGTGCCGGAAGATGAGCCCCTCAGGTCAGAAGGTACTCAAAATACAACTGGAGAAGAACTGCCTCCTCAGGGTAGAGCCGACCTTAATGATGTGGATAAAGTAAAGCTTTCAGGATCTCTATCTGCTGATGTGGCATTTCTCAAGATGAAAAGAAACAGCTGTAAACATCCATTAATAATTGGAACATGGAACGTATAAAGTATGAATCTAGGAAAATTGGAAGTTGTCAAAAGTGAAATGGAACACATAAAGATCAATATCCTAGCCATTAGTAAGCTGAAAGGGAGCTCTGGTGGTGTAGTGCCTAAAGCATTTGATTGCTAATCACAAGGCTGACAGTTCAAACCCACCAACCACTCCTTGGAAGGAAGACTGGGCAATCAATTTCTGTCAAGATACAGCCTCGGAAATCTGAGAAGGGATCACTATAAGTCAGAAATGATTCGATGGCAGGGAGTTGTTTTTTTTTTTTTTTTTAGTGAGCTGAAATGGACTGGGTTTGGTCCATTCTGAATCAGATGATCATATGATCTACTATGCCAGGAATAACAAATTGAAGAAGAATGGCATGGTATTCATCATCACAAAGAATGTATCAAGATCTGTCCTGAAGTACAATGCTGTCAGTGATAGGATAATATCCATATGCCTACGAGGAAGACCAGTTAATATGACTATTATTCAAATTACGCACCAAACACCAAAGCCAAAGATGAGGACATTGAAGATTTTTACCAACTTCTACAGTCTGAAATTGACCAAACATGCAATCAAGATGTGTTAATTATCACTGTGATTGGAATGCAAAAGTTGAAAACAAAGAACAATCACCGGTAGTTAGAAATTATGGCCTTGGGAATAGAAATAACACTTGGAGATCACATGATAGCATTTTGTAAGACCAACGACTTATTCATTGCAAATACCTTTTTTCAACAACACAAACGGTGGCTATACACATGGACTTCGGTGGCTATACACATGGACTTCGCCAGATGGAGTACACAGGAATCAGACTGACTATCTGTGGCAAGAGGTGATGGAAAAGCTCAGTATTTTCGGCCAAAACAAGGCCAGGAACTGATTGTGGAACAGAGCATCAAGTGCTCATATGCAAATTCAAGGTGAAACTGAAGATAATTAAAACAAGTCCATGAGAGCCAAAATAGGACCTTGATTATATCCCTCCTGAATTTAGAGACCATCTAAAGAATACATTTGATGCACTGAACACCAATGACCAAAAACCAGAGGAACTGTGGGATGACATCAAGAACATCATCCATGAAGAAAGCAAAAGTTAATTAAAAAGACAGGAAAGGAAGAAAAGACAAAAATGGATGTCAGAAGAGACTCTGAAACTTGCCCTTGAACAGACAGTAGCTAAAGCAAATGGAAGAAATGACAAGATAAAAAAAGCTGAACAGAAGATTTCAAAGTGCAGCTTGAGAAGACATAGTCAATTATTATAATGCAATGTGAAAAGATCTAGAATTAGAAAAGCAGAAGGGAAGAACACACTTAGCATTTCTCAAGCTGAAAGAAATGAGGAAAAAACTAAGTGTTGAATTGCAATACTGAACAATTCCACAGGCAGTATGCTGAATGATACAAGAAACATCAAAAGAAGATGGCAGGATACACAGTTACTATACCAAAAAGAATTGGTCAATGTCCATCCATTTCAAGAGGTGGCATATGATCAAGAATCAATGGTACTGAAGAAAGAAGTCAAAGCTGCACTGAAGGAACTGACAAAAAAACAAGGCTCCAGGACTGACAGAATACCTATTGAGATGTTTCAACAAATGGATGTCACACTGGAGGCACTCACTTGACTATGCCAAGAGATTTGGAAGACAGCTACTTGGCCAACTGACTGGAAGAGATCCATATTTGTACCCATTCCAAAGAAAGGTGATCCCACAGAATGTGGAAACTATCAAACAATTTCACTGATATCACACACAAGTAAAATCTTACTGAAGATAACTCAAAAATGCTGCAGCAGTATATTGACAGAGAACTTCCAGAAATGCAAGCTGGATTCAGAAGGGGCCATGGAATGAGTGATATCATAGCTGATGTCAAATGGATCTTGGCTGGAATCAAAGAATACGAAAAATATGTTTACTTGTTTTGTTGACTATACAAAGGCATTCGATTGTGTGGAGCATAACAAACTGTGGATAACGCTGAGAAGAATGGAATTCCAGAACACTTAATTGTATTCATGAGAAAACTGTACATAGCCCAGGAGGCTGTCATTGGAACAGAACAAGGGGATGTTGCATGGTTTAAAATTAGGGAGTGCGTCAGAGTTGTATCCTTTTACCATATTTATTCAATCTGTATGCTGAGCAAATAATCTGAGAAGCTGGACTATAAGAACACAGCATCAGGACTGGAGGACGACTCATTAACAACCTGAGATACACAGATGACATAACTTTGCTTGCTGAAGTCAGGATGACTTGGAGCACTTACTGATGAAGATTAAAGACTACGGTCTTCAGTATGGATTACACCTAAATATAAAGAAAACAAAAATCCTCACAACTGGACCATCATGATAAACGGAGAAAAGATTGAAATTGTCAAAAACTTCGTATTACTTGGTTCTATAATCAACACCAAAGGAAGCAACAGTCAAGATATTCATGGGGCAAATCTGTTGCAAAAGACCTCTTTTAAATGCTGAAGAGCAAAGATATCTCCTTGAAGACTAAGATGCATGTAACCCAAGCCATGGTATTTTCAATCACCACATACGCATGTGAGAGCTGGACAATGAATAAGGAAGATCGAATAAGAGTTGATGCTTTTGAGTTGTGGTGCTGACGAAGAATACTAAAGAGTACCATGGACTGCTAAAAGAATATGTCCTGGAGGAAGTGCAGCTGGAATGCTCTTTGGAAGTGAGAATGGCCAGACTTCGTCTCATCTACTTTGGTCATGTTGTCAGAAGGGACCATTCTCTGGAGAAGGATGTCTGGCTTGGTAAAGTGGAGGGTCAATGAAAGAGGGGAAAGCCTTCAACAAGATGGACGGACAAGCTGGCTACAGCGATGGGCTCAGGTATAGTAGGGATGGTGAGGATGGCACAGGACCAGGCAGTGTTTTGTTCTGTTGTATGTAAGGTCTCTGTGAGTCGGAGACAACTCGACGGCATGTAACAACAAAAACAACTGCTATCCACCAACAAATAGATACACAAGTGTGTGCACATACAAATACCTGTAAAACAAGATTATACTAAGTTTCCTTCAGGATAAAAGCAAAGTTTTAATAGAATATAGCTGTATTATGATATACTAGGAGTCCCTGGATGGTGCAAACAGCTAACTTGCTTGGCTGGTAATCAAAAGGAGGTTTGAGTCTACCCAGAGGTACAACAGAAGTAAAGTAAGGTCTGGTGAACTACTTCTGAAAAACTAGCCTTTGAAAATCCTAGAGCACAGATTCTACTCTGACACACACATTGGAACTGCCATGAGTCAGAACTGACTCAATCATAACTGGTTATAATGCACAAATGAATTAAGATGACAGAAAGCTAAGTCTTACACAGACGGAGAAGGAAATATTAATGATTGATCCATCCAAAAGATGCTCTTTAATAATGGATCTGGAAATGAAAAAAATTCGAAAGCCACACAAATGTCTGACTTGCTTCTAAATGATTTTAAGTACTTTCTACTAGGTAAAGTATCTTTAACATATTGAACAAATCTTAATTTCTATTTTACTATTTTATATGCTAAATCTAAGTTTAAATTTTTTCTTGACAATACACACACATTATGTTTTATGTTTGTGTATATACATACACATAAACACAAACTCCCATATTAGTATACAAACAGCCAAACCACACACACACACATACACAACCAAACCCACTG